ATCTTTTCCCTGAGCGGGCCATTTTATAAGCCCCTTTTGACTTAGGCACTCACTGCTAAGAAGCATTCTTGACCAAATATAAACCAGTTTATCAAAAGGTGTCGCTATAATACTTCCTGGGGTGGAAGGACTTGGGAGGTTTCGTATGTTATTAAGAATATTTATCCTTTAGGCATATGAAAATATTTTCTACCTAAATATCTTACCAAGAAAAAGTCATTATTATTAAATAGTTGGGAAAATGCATCTGTTGGACTGTATTTCTTTTTTCATCTTTTCCTGAAATTTTGCTATCTCTTAAAAAGCAAAAACTTTTGATTAGAACTTCTGGAACTGAAAATACATTACATATGTATAATGCCTTATTGTTTTTAGAATGCTTTCACGTATGTTACTGCATTTGATCCACAAAACAGTCTTTAAAAGGCAGATGAGCAGAGTGTTATTCCCATTTTAATTAAGGAGTAAAGAAGGACTTTGAGATCTTATGTGAATTTCCTAAATCACTTGGATAGTAACCAGTAGGGCTAAGACTAGGATACAGGAATATTCTGGCCCAGTTATGCTTAAAAAGATAAAAATAACTAATATCCACAGACCTAGAGTAGTTGTAAGTATTAGGATATATCAGCAGGCCTTATCAATTAGTAATTTTAAAGGAAGCTGAACGTAATGGTATAACTTGGAATTTATAAGATTATGCTAAAATTACTTAATGAAATTGTGGCATAGTTTCACTTATTGCATATAATACCATTTCAAAATACAGTGGTGTAAAACAGCCATCTTAGTATGTTCATGGATTCGCCAGGTTAGGAATTTAAAAGGACAGTGTATGAATGGCTTATCTCTACCCTAAGATGTCTACAGTCTTAGCTGAGAAGACTTAAAGGCTGGGAGTGACTTGATGGCTAAAAGCGGGGTCATGTGAAAGCATCTTCACTCACATACTGGCTTGGACTCAGCTTGGCTGTTGGCTGGAATACCTACATGTGTTTTTTTCATGTGGTCTAGTTTGAGCTTCTTTATAACATGAAAGCTGGATTCCAAGAGTGAGTGTCCCCGGAGAGCAAGGAAGAAGTGCATGGTGCTTTTATGATCTAGCCTTGCAAGTTGTATAACATCACTTACAGCATACACTGTTGGTTGAAGCAGTCACAAAGGGCTGTTCAGGTTCAAAGGGAGAGTGATACAGACCCCACTACCTAATTGGAGGAATGTCAAGATTACATTATAAGAAGGGCATGATGAGAGATATTGTTGTAGCCATCTTTGAAAAATAGAATCTACATTATGAAGAATTGTTGAAAAAGGAAATGGTTTGAACAAAGTCCTATCTGATTCATGTCCATGAGTCATGGTCTTTTTCTTTTTTGTTTGCTATTAACATGAAAGTATTCATGGGATCTGTGTAGAATTGGTTTTCTGATCCCTTGTTGGAGAATGTAATGGGGAGAAAATAAATTGCAAAACCTGCAGGCTTCTGCTTTATGTCCTACCATTCTTTCTTCCGACCTGTATTAAAATGACAATCTGGGGCCGGCCCTGTGGCTTGGTGGTTAAGTGCGCGCGCTGCGATGCTGGCGGCCCGGGTTCGGATCCCGGGTGCGCATCGAGGCACCACTTCTCCGTTCATCCTGAGGCCGAGTCCCGCATACAGCAACTAGAAGGATGTGCAGCTACGACATACAACTATCCACTGGGGCTTTGGGGGGAAAAAATAAAATAAATAAAATCTTTAAAATGACAATCTAGCTAATAGACTTAGTTTATGGCAAGTTTAGGGTGCTTTTGGCTGCTACTGTCATAAAATTGTCTTACCTAAAAACTTTTAGTAAGTAGTAGTATAAATTAGATTTTATTAGCATATACACTATTTTTTGTTGCTGTAAATTCTGGGAATCCAGTTATGGTACATAGTGATGAAACATCCATTTTTGCGTAGAAACAGAGTGGTTATTTGGGATTATATTCTGGACTGAAAATTTGGCAGCAAATAAATGACAAAGCCAAAAATGTCAGAAAAATAAAAAGCACATCAAAGATATTTCTGTTGTGATATAAACTACTCTTAAGCTGCAAGTTCTGTAAATTGTACATAAATGTGGGCATATACTAACTACGGAAGCATTCCAGTTTCAATGTAAGGTTCCTGGTTTATGGGTGCTTTTTGGGGTATGTTGACTCCAGTCATCCAGACGGGGCCTCAAATACTGGCGTTTATGCTGATGAATTCACCGAAGGTCTTGCGCCCAGCTCTGCAGGTGTAGATACCTGACATTTTTGGTGCACTAAGAGTGGATCTGTCTCCAGGGAGATTAATGTTAATCGGGCTTATCTGAATGAAGCAAGAATCATAGCTGTTGGGCAGATAATTTCATTTATCTACCCTTTTTGCTCTTGTCATATCTTTTACCTCTTCCTAGGTTATATATCCTGCCTTTTGCTTTAAACGGTTATCTTTTTAAGGAAATCATAAGAAGAAAGAACACCATATTATTTTACCTTTACCACTTATTTACTGTTTGTGGTGGTTTTCATTCCTGAAAATTTGGTTTTGAATTTGGTGTCATTTTTTTTTATCCCGATAATTTCCTTTTATATTTCTTGTAGTGCATGTCTGCTTTCAACAAATTCTCTTGGCTTTTGTTTATATAAAAGTCATTATTTCACCCTGTTTTTGAAGGATATTGAATTTTCGGTTGACGGTTTTTTCCTTTCACCACTTTAAAGATGACTTCTGGCCTACATTGCTTCTGATGAGGTCAGCCTTTATTTGTATTGTTGTTCTCTTGTATGTAATGTTTCTTTTTTTCTCTGACTGCTTTCAAGGTTTTTTAGTCATCATTGGTTTTCAGTATATTAGTTTGATTTTGATGTGACTAGGTAGTTTTCTTTGTATTTGTTTTGCTTGGGGTTTGATCTGTAAGGGCTCCCCCCCCCCATCAAAGTTATGGAATATTCTTTCATTCATTCTGCAAGTTTTTTATTTTTTAATGCTTCATTTTCTCCTTCTGGGACTTTATTTGTACCTGTGTTAGACCTTTTGAGCTTTCTGGCTGGAGAGACTGGGTGCTCATACTGTTAATTAAGAGTGAAAATGCAGTGTGTTCACCTCTAATCTCAAAATATAGGTTATTGAATTTGACACTTAAGAGGTCATTGGTGACCTTAGCCACAGATAGACACCGGAAAGTGGAATCTGCACAAGAAAGAAAGAGTTGAAGAGTGAATAGGAATTAAAGAAATGGAGCGACTTCCTACTGTAGTTCTGTGTTTGTGTTTTATGCCCCATAGTTATGTTTATGACTTATAGTTTTGTTTCATTTTTAGGTCTTCATCATCAACAGCATCTTTCTTTCCCTTTAAGTGTTCTGGGAAAATATGAACCACTTTATGACATGATTTCTAGGAGCATAGTATTTACAATAAATACTGTGCTTAAAGAAAAGTGTTTTACCCAATGAGTTAATGTTTTTCTTGATTTGGTGTGACTTGTGGATTGAAGGCCTCTGACATTGGATATGTTTGTTTCTCTTTAGGCATCAGGAAAACTGCGGTTGGTAACACATGAGCCATTTTGCCTCTTCTTGCATGTTGTTGCAGTACTTGTTAGGAACCAGAAGACTTGAGGCCTCTATATTAGCTTTTGTTTTAATGGGCACTAGAACATCATTGAATAATGCATCAGTATAAATCTGTTAAAGTTCTTTGTGAAGTAAATACATTTCAATTTTTTTTTCTTTTTTTCTTTGCTGAGGGAGATTCACCTTGAGCTAACATCTGTTGCTAATCTTCCTCTTTTTGCTTGAGGAAGATTTGCCCTGAGCTAACATCCGTGCCAGTCTTCCTCTATTTTGTGTGTGGGTCGTCACCATAGCATGGCCACTGATAGAAGAGTGGTTCTGGTGTGCCCGGGACCAAACCCAGGCTACTGAAGCAGAGTGCGCCAAACTTAACCACTAGGCCATGGGGCCAGCCTCTTAGTTTTTAATAATATAGTTAAGAAGGATGACTTCATTAGGTAATCTTTTTTTAACTAGATAATCTTTTGTATGCAAATAATTACTGTGTAGCCCACCCTGGTGGTCTAGTGGTTAAGATTTGGTGCTCTCAGCACTCACTGCCAGAACCCAGGTTCATTTCCTGCTCAGAGAACCATACCACCTGTCTGTCCATTGTCATACTGTGGTGGCTGTGTGTCTTTCTGTGATGCTGAAAGCTGTACTACAGCACCGGTATTTCAGATACCAGCAGGAGTCGCTCATGGTGGATAGGTTTCAGCAGAGCTTCCAGACTAAGACAAAGAAGGACCTGGCCACCCACTTGCAAAACAATTTGCCATGAAAACCCTATGAACAGCAGCAGAGCATTGACTGGTATAGTGCCAGAAGGTGAGAGGAAGGCACAGAAAGACTGGGCAGGGTTCTGCTCTGCTGTCCACAGGGTTGTTAGGAGTCAGAATCAACTGGACCAACAGCAAAATTATTATGTATCTTAATAACTCTATCAACTTAGAAGTTTTAAATTTTCTCTTATATGCTCTGTGTAATTGAATATAAAGTATCGAAAACAAAACACAACAAAGAAAGAAACGAAACAAACAAAAAAAACAAAAGACACCTGAATTTTGGATAGAGTTCTCCTGGGGGTAGTTTTTGACTTCCTCAGATTTTCATTAGGTGATACTGTAGTCAAGGATGAAATGTAATTTTGAAGGGTTGTGTTATATTTTGACTATTATAATTAGTGTGTTAGAATAAAGAATGATAAATGCTTAAAATTGAACCTGCTTTAGAGTGACTTTACTTTCATGATTCCAAGATGAATAGAGTTTAGTACTAGTTTATTTTGGAGTATTTTTACCACAAAAATTTCAGAATTTGGCAGAATCTTTATCAGAAGTGCCTGGTTATTGCAGGTCATTATATAAGATATAACAAATCTTATATCCTTAGATTTGTTATTGGAATATTATCTTTCTTTCTTTTTCTCCCCAGTTCAAAGCAGTATTCAGCGATTTCAAGAGAAGTTTTTTATTTTTGCTCTGACACCTCAACAAGTTAGAGAGATATGTATATCCAGGTAAGAGGAATGTTTGGAATATATTTCTCAGTGAATGTTGGTGTATTAGTCTACTATGGCTCCATGTCAAAGTACCACAGACGAGTGGTTTAAACAACAGAAATTTATTTTCTCACATTTCAGGAGGCTTGAAGTCCAAGATTAAGATGTCGATGGATTTGGTTTCTTCTGAGGCCTCTCTCTTTGGCTTGCAGATGGCTGCCTTCTTGCTGTGTGTACTCACATGGCCTTTCCTTTGTGTGCCTGTGCATCCTTGGTGTCTTTTCCTCTTCTTGTAAGGACCCCAGTTGTATTGAATTAGGGCCGCACTCTTATGACCTCATTTAACCTTAATTACGTCTTTAAAGTCCCCATCTCCACATATAGTCACATTGGGGTTAGGGCTTCAACATATGAATTTTTACGGGACACAATTCAGTCCATAACAGTTGGACTATTTTTCCTTAAGTAAGCATAGTATACTTTGACTAAGGTTAGCTAAATATTTAATAAATACTCTGTATTAGAAAAAAATTTGAACTTTTGAATAAAACCCTAGAGTGTGTTTTGAATTACTTTTTGTCACATTTGGCAACAATTTTTTTTTTTAATGAAATTTTATTTCAAATTTAGCAACATAAAAAAAGAATTTGTGATAACAGCCTAAAGATAGGATGACCATATACTTTATCATCCAAACTGAGGCAATTTTAGAGTGAAAGTAGACATTATTAATAATTTTTCTAGGATAAGAACATAAACTGGAACTGTTTGAGCTGTGTGGTTACCTGGACCACAAAATTAGTAGAAATATGAAAACAATTATGGAAAGTACTCTTAGCTTTGCCATTTAGAAAAATAGGAGAATAAAGTAGACACATTTGTAAAGAGGAAATGAACTGAGATGTAAGAAGAAAGAAAGGGAAATCTGTACTGTATACTTTTCCAATTAAAAATATAGTCATCTTTTGTGTTAATAATATATTAATTATATGACTCTTTAAAACTGATTCTTAAAGATTTAGCATGAGAAAACTGAGTTTCTTGGAGGTTGAATGATTTTCTAGGATTATAGAGTTAAAAGTAGAGCAAAGGGTTGAGCAGATTAGAGGTCTTTTGCCTCCTTTAAGCTGTTCATTAGAACACTCATCTTTTCTGAGATGTTAATAAGAGTTTTTAAAAAATAAGGATTCTGCGGTTAAGTTTTCAAAATTCTGTGTTCAACATTAATTACGTAAGTTTTTTTACAGCCAGACTTTTCAGTCTTTAATATGTTGGTGTGCTTTGTCAGTCTCCCAAGGTGGTGGATCCAAAGTTATGGGCCTCGCATCTCTTTTAAACACCCTGACATCTTGAAGATGCACTGTTGTTACGTGGAGTGTTAAGTGTTGAAAAATAAGATTAAAAGGAAAAAAGAAGACAGTACAAGGATTAGTCCAGAAGATCCAATAGCCAAATGATTGGGGTTTCAGAAAAAAATAGAGAAAATTTAGAGGAGGAAACTATAGAGGAAGTAAAATGAATGTAACTTGATGTAGTTCACGTCCACCAGGGGCAAGACATTGCAGTGCCTTTTTGTAAATTGAAAGTACTTTCAGTCTTGGGGATAGTAATAAACCAACTAACAAATAAATAAATAGAATAAATTAAAAATTGTATTATAAATCTAAAAGCATATTATTAATCTTAAGTTTTGTTTGTTATTCAGTGATTCTCCCTTGCTTGCGATCAGTGTTTACTAAGTGTTTATTAGGTGCAAAGCACTGTATTATATGATATGACCCCTTTCTACAAGTTGCTTGCAGTCTTGTTAGTGAACCAGCTCATGTACATAAAATGATCATTGGCATTGCAGGGTGTCATAAGAAAAGAGCCAATTCAGTAGTGACAAATAAGAGCTGATTTATAGGAGAAGATTACTATTAACCTTGGTGGTCTGGGAAAGCTTCACTAGGGTATTGGATGGGCCTTTGAAGGAAGGAGATTATTTAGAGTAAGTAGATTTAAAGATACAGATTTCAAGGTATATATTTAAGTGAACAAAGCAAGGCATGGAATTGTGAATAACATGCTACCAGTTGCCTTAAAATGGTCTGCGAGTGTGTGTGTGTAATTTGCTTAAGTGCATAAAATATGTCTGGACAGGTATGATTAGCTGCCTCTGGAGAGGGGAGTTGGGTGGTTGGGGTCAGAGTTGGGGGAATCTTTTCACTTTATATTCTTTTTTGTATCTTTTTGAAGTTTGAACTTTGTGAATGTATTAACTAGTCAAAAAATGAATGACCCAAATTTACATAATTATTTTCAATTAAAAATTTTAATCATGTTCTTGTGATGATTGCACAACAATATGAATGTACTTAATGTTACAGAACTATACACTTAAAAATGGTTTACATGATAAATTTTATCAAATGTATATTTATTTAACCATGATAAAAAACCTAAAAAAAACTAACCATATAAGTAAGGCTATTTGTAGTTCTCCCTCCAAAGGAAAGAAATAAAACATACATACACATGTACATACAAGCCCCAACCTTTTCAGAGTTGTGTAATCAAATAATAAAGAAGTCTCCTTCTTCCTCATAAGTAGAGTTTGGTACTCATTAATTATCAGCAGTAATTATCAACATTTTGTCAGTCTGTATGTGACCCCCCACACACTTTTTTTCCTGAAATATTTTAAAGCAAATCACAGACATCATATAATTTCACCCAAAAATACTTCGAGATGCATCTCTAATTAATTTTTAACATAATCACACTAAAAAATTAATAATTCCATAATATAAAACAATATCTAGCCCATATTCAAATTTTCTCAGTTGTTTCAGTATTCAAACATGGCCCATGTATTACTTTTGACTTTTATGTCTCCCAAGATTTTTAAAAAACTTTTTACTTTTAAGTAATTATAGATTTATAGGAAAGTTGTAAAAATAATAGATATGCTTTTCACCTAGCTTCCCTTAATATTAACATCTTGCATAACATAGTGCAATTACCGAAACCAAGAAATTAACCTTAGTACAGTACTATTAACTAAACTATAGACTTTATTTGGGTGTTACCAGTTTTTCTGCTAATGAACTTCTGTCCTGATCCAATCTAAGATCCCAGATCGCATTTTTATGTCATTTTAGTCTCTTCTAGTCTGTGACAGATTCTTAGTTTTTACTTGTCTTTCATAGCTTTTGATACTTTTGAAGAGTACTGGTCAGATATTTTGTAGAATGTTCCTCAGTTTGGGTTGGTCTCATGTTTTGTCTTGATAAGATTGAGATTATGCATTTTTGGCAAGAATACCTCAAGTTATATGCCCTAAGTGTATCGTATCAGGGGCTACATAATATTGAAACATCTTATTTTTGGTGTTAGCCTTGATCACTTGGGTGACTTACTGTCTACCAGATTTCGGTACTGTAAAGTTGCTGTTTTTCCTTTGTTATTAATAGATACCTTGGGGGAGATACTTTGAGACCAGGCACATATTCTGTTTGTCTTCAAAGTTTTGACCACCAATTGAGCGTTCACTTGTGGATCTTGCCTTCAGCAATTACTACATCATAAACACCCTTGTGTTCCAATGGTGTGATTTTCTATTGTCCTTATTCTTTTTCACATTGGAGTTATTCTTTTGTAAGGAAGAGCTGTCCTTTCTCCCCTATTTATTTATTCAATTATTTATTTGTATCCATGTGGGCTCTTGAGTACTCTGGGTTATAATCCAGTGCTATAGTAATTTATATCGTTGCTCAAACTGTTCTACCTTTGGCCGTCGGCCGTTCTTTCAGGCTAGCTCCTGTTGTCTTTGATACATTGCCGTGCATTTCTGAGCACTGCTTTACTTTTTGGCAGCCAGGGTGCTCAGGGCTCATCTTGTAATTTCTCTGCCCCACTTCTGAAATTGATCACTTCTCCAAGGAGCTCTGGTTCCTCTCATATTATACTTCCTCCCACTTTCTTTGAAAAAAAGTGGTTCATTTGTCCCTGTAGCATATTACACTTTCTGGATTTTGGTGATTGCGCTTCTTGTGGTGTCATTTAACTTCTATCCCATGGTTCTCAAACTTTGCTGCATATTAGAATCAACTGGGGAGCTTTTAAGACTCCAGATACCCAGGTTTCATTCATACTAATTAAATTTGAATCACTGAGGATGAAACCCAAACAGTAGTGGTTTTTAGAGCTCCCCAGGTGTTTCTAGTGTGCAGCAAATTTGAGAACCACTGCTGTGCATCCAGCTCCTCCCCTTTGCCTGTAGTGGTAGTAAGGTCTAAACCAGAGGCTTGACTGCATTGAGGTTTGGGTTGTTTTGTTCTTTTTATTACATCCTGTGAAGACTGAGCAGGGAGTTCAGCTTTTTTCTTGGTTTTAGCACTACCCCTTCCATTTGGTGCTACTGCCTCTCTAATCATGCTCTCAGTTTCTCACACTGACTTCTCTTACCTGTTCCCAGGAATCAGTCTGTGATTCTCTTCTCACTACTCTGTGATAGTATCCATGAATGTGCTTTATTCTTATATTGGTGGCTGCAGAATCACCAGCACTTCCCTTTGGAGTCCTTTCTCACTACCTCTACTTTGAGGACCCACAGACACATCAAACACAGCACATCCAGAACTGAACTTGCCTTCATCCCAAGCCTGCTTGTTTGTCTTTTATTCTTTGTTTTATTCATTTAGTCTCACAGTATATATTTATTGACTGTCTACTATAGTCCAGACAATGTTCTAGGCACCAGGGATGCAAAGTTCAAAAATAAACTGGCCTCAGGGAGATTTTTGCTTGGTATATTTCCTCCTGTTGCCTGTTTCATTGATGGCATAGGATCTGCCTGGACAGAGGCCTCTTTGTATTATCCCACATTTCATCTACCACATCCTGTCATCTTGCCACACTCCACTGATTTTTCTTTTATATCTCAAGATTTAAAACTTGATGCAGCTCTACCTTTGAGGGAGCTAGCATTTAGAATAATACCAACTGGAATGTGAATTCTGGCTCAACCACTTAGGTCTGTATGCCCCTGGGTAAGTTAGTGAAGTCCATTGAATTTTATTTACTCAGTATGTAAAATTGGAAAAATAAGCACTGCCTCACTCAGTGGTTGAGGGAATTGAATGCCGTAACTTGCTCTGTCTCTTCTTATCCTGGTTGATCAGCATCACCAATCCAGCGGCACCATCCCAAAACCTGGGCACCATCCTAGATGTTCCCCTTCCCTTTTCCTACCTTCCTGTATCTAGTCAGTCATCAAGTCCTTTCAGTTTTTATGCCTAAATATCATTCAGTGATATTTATGTTTAAATAGCTTTCAAGCCCTCATTTTTGCCTCTACAATTGTAATGGTCTCCTAACTCTCCCAGCTGACCATGTGATCTTTCTAAAGCCCATTTAGTTTTTTCTCTCTTGTGCTTAAAACCCTATAGTGATACATGATCAAGTCCACACTCCATTGCCTGGCATTTCTCTTCAACATCTTGCTCTGTTCATCTTCTTTATCATCTCATCTCTTGTCACTCTTCCCCAGCAGCCTATACTCTGACTAGGCTTTCACAGCTCTGTACCTTTGCATATCTTCTTCCTTCCTACTTTGCTTAACAAACCTGAGTCATGTTTTAAGGACCAGTTCAAGTCTTACCTCGTCAGTGGTGCCTTTCCAGATTTCCCCAAAGGCACCCTTTGTCTCTCACTGTGGTATGTACTTATTTTCTCTTAAAGCATTGTTGCATTTATTTGACTAGTTGCATTTAGAAACTTCTAGATGAAAGCGGCATCTCTTACTCACTTTTATATTCTCAAAGCCTGTCACAGTGCCTGGCATATAGTAAATGCCTACTTTATGCCTGATGGATCAACATGTGAAAGTTCCTGGAACAGTGATTGGAAGAAAATGAATGTCAGAAGATGCTTAGTCATTATTCATAATGTTTGTGAAGATACTTAGCACATTGCATTTCCCATTTGATGTCAATTTCTCATACTAGAATAAAGTATAAATCCTTAGAGAGGTATTCAGAGCCCTTATAGTGTTCCCATCTATTTTTCTAGGTTCATCTTTTCTCATTTCTCTTTTTTCAAATTATGTTCCCCAACCTAACAAGATTCTGCTGTGTATCTCTGGTTGATCCTCACTCTTTCCTTTTGTTGAGAATCACTGCACTAGTGAAACCACTGTTACTGATGGAAGTGTGTCTCTCGAAGTAAAAATAGGAAGAATCAGTGCTGTACAAACCCTGTCTTCTAATGTGATTGGACTAATTGTGATAACTGCCTTGAACTTTCAAGACAAAATTTCCCTTTTTTCTGTAGCACTTATTTTTTGTAATGTACTACAGCACTTAGCACATTTTATTTTAGTTGTATGCTGTTAACCTGCTAGCCTATAAGACTTTTGAGAGTAAATATTATGTATTTACCTTTGAAGCTCTAGGGCCCAGACTGAAGTGTTTCTTGATTTTAATGAGTGGAATGATATGGGTTACTCACAAGTGGTTAGTGTTGTCTAGGATCTTGGGATGTTTTGAATAGACATTTGAGAAGGGTGGAGACTACTACTGGCAAGGAAAACAATGAGAGCAGAGTTAGCAGTAATAGCAGCCAGCTGCTCACACTTGTTGAGCACTTCTTATATCCAGGCACTTTACATGTATTTAACATGTTAAATCATCACAACAACTCCATGAGGTAGGTGCAGTAATTGTCCATTTTCAACAGATGTAAAAACTGAGGTATAGAAAGGTTAAGTAATTTGCCCAAGGTCATACAGCTGGGACTGGAGAGCTGAAGCTGGTTGCTACTGAGCTTTACTGCCTTCCAGTGAACATAGAGAACTGGAAACAGTGAGAAGATTGACCCAGTTGAGTAAGATGAAGGCTAAGTGTACTCTCAAGAAAGGGCTGATCTCCAATGATCTTTTCTCTGACAAGTCCAAGATTTATTGTAATGGCTAAGGATAATCCTTTTAAACTGTAATGTGTGTACAGGTCACTTGGGGATCTTGTTAAAATGCAGCCTCTAATTCTGTAGGTCTGGGATGGGGCCTGAGATTCTGCATTTCTAACAGGCTCACAAGCAATAACAGTGCTGCTTCACTGTGGACTCCATTTTGAGTGGCAAGGATTTGGAAAGTTCAGTGCCCACGATATTTTATATGGGACTCTATTAGGTTCTCATCTAGAAATTCTAAGAGGTTCTCTGTCCTTAATTGGATGCATAACTATGAAGTTGCTGTAATATGGAGATATTGAGACTCTAGGCACCAGTTCTTTATCCTGGTTCTATATTAGAATCACTTGAGTAGCTATAAAAACTACTAATGTACTCTAGACCAATAAGAATAACTGGTGAATGGGCCTTTACATTAAAAAAAATTTGCAAGTGATTAAATGCTCAGCCAAGGTTTAAAAACCACTATAAGCAAACAAATTAATTTATTAAACTCTTTTAGAACCTAGGATATTCCTTTTCACGTTAACCAAATCTGTTGCCTGTTGAAATAAATATTGTATCATGCAAGTTCCCGTGCACTAAAAATACCTTAAAATTTCCATAAGGACATGACTAAACTTTAAGTAAATGAGGGTTATCATCACTACAGTGTTTTGATTAAGACTTGTGCTGTTGGTAGACTGGTGTTCATCTTTTAAGAAATAAGAATAAAAATACAAATAAGGCTTTTTTCTGGTGAGACTGTTCCTAGTGAGAATTCTCATTGTGCCTTCTTAATCCAATTTCTTTCTCTTTCCAACAGGGATTTTTTGCCAGGTGGTAGGAGAGATTATACAGTCCAAGTTCAGCTGAGGCGAGTTTCAAATTTTCTGTTACCTTAATTTTATACTTGTTGACTACGTGCATATAGTCCTGAATTTTAAATACATGAGCATGTTTGAGTACACTATTTAATTTCTTTTTTCTTCTTTAATGCAGACTTTGCCTGGCAGAGACCAGTTGCCCTCAAGAAGATAACTATCCCAATAGTCTTTGTATAAAAGTAAATGGGAAGCTGTTTCCTTTACCTGTAAGTTGCTTTTTATTCACCAGGCTTACATGTAAGTTTAGTATAAATACTGACAAAGTCCAGAAACAGTGACAACTCAGTACCAATGAGCAGTCCTAGCATCCGGATTAAATACTGTTTTCCACTGAAGAGATTAGTGGTTCCTTGGAGAAATGGCTGATTCCAGGTCTGGGGGAGATGGAAAAGATGAGCCTGGAACATCTTGTGTCAGAAAGCAAGGAAGCTGTGAAAGACTCTTAGAATCATATCAAATGGCATAGTAGCAGGACTTGGATATATAGGGCAGCATGTTGTGGTGGTTGTCTAAATTAGCAGGGCCTGGACCATGGATGAGATGGTGAAAGGCAGAGGCTGCTGAGGACAGCCTCTTTTTGTCCTGGAACAAGTCCCTGTGTATGTGACCTTATTGTTGTATCCAGTCATTATGGACCCATCACAGTTGGCCGCTATACTGTGTGTACAAAGAGTAAACTAAATAGGAAATGGTATTACTTTGATAATGGCAGTGTGTTTCTGAATTCTTAAGGGTCAGATAGTGATGAAAGCAGTTTATGTGCTGTTTTACCCACATTAAGGTGATGAGTTTTATAAGACACCCTTGTGCCTTGACTTTCCATATTCCCTTTATGCAGGGATGATAGTAAGCAGCTCATAGCAGAACTTGCGGAATGATGATATGTGCAGTATGGACAGAAACAGGCAAAACTGCCTCAGGGACTCCCCCGCCACTGCCCATCGTTGACTCCAAGGGCCACCAGTGTACAGACTGACAGCCAGCTGAGAAAATTCTGTGTTTTTATGGGCAGAAGAGGAAAAGGAAAAAAAAACCTCTTTGTTTAGAGAGTTATTTGAGAGGCTGAATTATTTTTCTTTTTCAACAGATCGTGATAAATTTCTGTAAACATTTGGAGATGTAAGGTTGCAGGCTGAGGGGTGGGTGGTGGAAGTGGGTTGACGGAGGAGTATTTCTTGGAAAGATTCTAAAGAGTGGAGAGGATGTGTGCCACAATTCAGCTGGCGGAAATCTCCAAGTAGTTCCTCTTGGTGCAGCCAGAAGACTTATCAGTACTAGCTTTCTTATCCTAATAAATTCTATTTCTGAGTTCATGGATTTCTGTTTCCTGAAGCTGTGTATTAGTCTTGCCAATGGACTGCCTCAGAGTAAATCTGGACTGAAACAAAGTCAGCATTTTCTTTTTTTAAACACACACACACACACACACATGCACACAGCTCCCTTGGCCTAAGATAGGACAATTTTGGCATATAAAAAAATAATACTATTGGGGACGGCCCGATGGCGTAGTGGTTGGGTTCACACGCTCCACTTTGGCAGCCTGGGGTTTGTGGGTTCGGATCCCGGGCGTGGACCTATGCATCGCTTATCAAGCCGTGTGGTGGCCGGTGTCCCACATATAAAGCAGAGGAAGATGGGCACGGATGTTAGCCCAGGGCCAATCTTCCTCAGCAAAAAGAGGAGGATTGGCAACAGATATTAGCTCAGGGCTAATCTTCCTCACACATAAAAAATAATAATAATACTACGGTAGACTCAAAGCCATCAAACATATAAATGAGTTTATAATTATGCTAAAATAAACCACTGGAGGTTGTACAACTCATGACTCTGAAAATTGATAAAGGGAGAGAATAATTCATTTTAGGGTAACCAAATGTTGATGTGGTTAAGCTCTCTATGGAACCATTTTTTTTTAGAATTTTATTTTATTTATTTTTTTAAATTTTATTTATTTATTTTTTCCCCAAAGCCCCAGTAGATAGTTGTATGTCATAGTTGCACAGCCTTCTAGTTGCTGTATGTGGGACGCGTCCTCAGCACTGCTGGAGAAGCAGTGCGTCGGTGTGCGCCCGGGATCCGGACCTGGGCCTCCAGCAGTGGAGCGCGCGCACTTAACCGCCAAGCCACAGGGCCGGCCCTGGAAACATTTCAACTAATAATCATATAATCGATCTAGGCAAGCATCAGTAGTAATCATCATCATCAAAATAATTTTTGCAATCCATAATCGTTTAATGGATCTAGGTAACCATTATCAGTGGATGCTAAAACCATTAGGTATAACTTCATGGGGAACTTTACAGTGGAGAAATCAGGCTGATATCAGCTGTACTCCTGATGAGTCTTGACATCACTGAAAATGGGGCAAACAGACATTATGTGCCTTATGATGTGGTACAATAGGAAGTATGTAATGTTCCTTATGAATTTTTTTTGTCTGAAAATTTGAACCTGACTCTAATCAAGCCTGTACAACTAATTAGTGGTTTAAAACATATATGGGAGATAGAGCAACAAAACTTCATACCATAAGGAAGCAATCTACCTAATTCAGAAGATGAGGTCATTCTTGGGGTCAAAAGTCCTGGTATCTCCAACAGAACAATGGCATTGAAAAAGAAATAGTGTGCATGTTGCGGGGTGGGAGGTAGGAGGAGGTTTATAGAATAAAGAAGAGTTCAGAGACATAACTAAGTACAATGTGAGACTCTGGTTTGGATTCTGATTTCAAACTGTAAAGGGACATTTCATACACTAAACTATATATGGATAAAAAGATATGTCTGGGATTTGATGTCTGGGATTTGCTTTAAAATAATGTGGGATGGGTGTGGGGTAGAGTGGGTAAAGGCTGTTTGTTAGTAAATAAAGTATTGAATTGGATGATGGGTATATGGGAGTTTATTATACTTTTTTCTCCATATTTGAAATTTTTAGTAAAAAGATAAAAGACGTCTTTAGTCAGGAATTTTGAATTTAAACTGGATATTAGATAATTTTTTTAAAATTATGGTTAATTTTGTAAGATTGTGATACTGTTTTTTCCAAAAAGGTCTTATTAAAGATGCCTATAAAAGTATCTGTGGGTCAAATGGCATGTCTAGAATTTGCATTTAAATACTCAGGGTAAAAATAAATGTGTATATGAGTGGAGTGTGTATTTTGGGTGGGCTGAGGGTAGGGCCAGAGGCAAATGAAGCAAGATTGGCAACTTCTTGATAATTATTGAAGCTGATTGGTAGGTACTTACTGTTCTGTCTACTTTTGTGTATATTTGAAAATTTTCATAATATAAAGTAAAAAAGTAAATCCGTCTTGGTAATATTAAAGTAGTAGTGATAATTAGTAAATCTGGGAAATGTTAAAGGACAACACTCAATCTTGGTCACAATTACAAGTAGGGTAGGATATCATCATAGCTTGTAACGAAAGTTTCTTCGAGTGTAGCTTTTATTAAAATGTTAGGTTGAGACTGGTGTGCTCCAACAGCCCTTATTTAGAAAGCTTTTAGATTTGCTCCAGAGGTCCTTTGTCAAATGAACTTTATTTTTGCTGTAGATATGGGAAATTGTTAGACATATAAGGCTAAACATTTTATAAAATTCCAACCATATTTTATTCTCAATAACCAGATGACTGATGTTTGAGTGGAGGTGATGCTGATGGTCAGAGGGAGAATACAAGTTAACAGATAACTGAGAATTACCAGTGAACTCAAACTAGTCAAGTGGGGTAGAGAATAGATTTAAAATACCTTTGGAGATTAAGACTAGTACCATACTTGATTTTGAGTTGCTTATATTCACTGTTATTTTCCCCCTCCTTTTGCTCTATTCTTTGTGTCAAACTAACTTAAAACGTGGTTTCGTGTCTCAAATTCCAGTTGACAGAGTTCACATTTAGCTAGTTCATGAGTTATTTTTGTTATTTTGGCAGACCCTGTGCTATTGTTTTTATTTGGTTAACCTACCAGTGGACATATCAGAAGGCAGAATTATCTTCCAGGCCCAAAAAAGGCAAAACAAAGTTTCATTCAAAATTACCCAGATACTGGTTTTGATATTCCTTGTGTTTATTGCTCATTGAACCAATTCCTAGAGTCTCTATAAGGGGACTTTTTTTAATGAGTTCTGTTTTTATTTCACTTAAACAGATTTACATGGCATAACCTTGCTCCATACACGTACTCTCCTCGACTCATTTCCCTTTTCTGTATTATAATGGAAGTTAAGTGTCTTCTCCCCTGCTCAAACTCTTTTTAATGATTTTCAAAGTTTTGTTGCAAGTTGTAGATTACAAATTATCATGTGGATTCCCACTTAAAAATTATTATCCAACGTCTTACAAGGCAGTGGAGAATGTTCCCTAGTTGTGATAGATAGAATGTGTTCCTTGTCTCTACTGTGTAATACCACCAATACTGTATTTCATTGTTTCTAAGGTATGTATTTTAGCATCCCTAAAATCCAGATGTGTCTTAAAAATGCTGGTGACCAGGTGGCAGCTGTCATGTGTTGCCGTTGCCTGTACTTGTACAACCTTGATGTTATTCCCATGCCATGACTGGTTAGCTGTGCTCCCTCGGTTTTTCAGTCAACAAATGATTTAAGAACATTTTGAGGAGCGTGAATCTTGGCTGTTGTCTGAAAACTTTTGATGGATAAATTCTCAAAACATCCATAGTGTATCAGCATGAACACATGCAATTAAGGGTGTCAGTGACTTGCAAGGAAATCTGAGAGGTGTTAGTGGAGTAGAATATAGTTTTTAGAAATACTTTTATCTCCAAAGCTCTTGGTGGCATATAGGAGAGTATCATGTGGAGAACATGCATTGATGACTGAGTGAAAATTGATTCAGGAGATTCTTCTGAATATTCAAAAGGAATATGTTAGCCAATTCATTTTGCTTATATTTCCTTGCTATGTATGCAGAAATAAGTAATGATCTACTAGTTTGCATCATGTAAGTGTTTTTTTCCTTCTCAAGGCTATGTAGTTAAATTACATCACTGGTATTTTAGATTCAGTGAAATATGGTATCTGCTTTTCAATATGTAGATGTTTTTGCAACTGAGAAATTTTAATTTTCTAAGAAATGTATTTTGGTTTTGAAAATCACAAACTGAAAAGTCTTGTGGTAATTGAGAATTGGATGTACTGTGAATCAAAAATGAATACATTTGCTATTTAAAACAAATACTTGAGGACTAGAAGAAAGTAAAATACAGCATAAATAGCAGTATTATTATAGCCATCAAGCTAATTAATGCCAATTGAAATATTGATTACTCTTATTTGTTAATGTGATGTAACATCTTTCAAGATGTTAACATGACATAACATGACATCTTTAAAGCTGACAATCTCTGTTCTACTCGGAGAGAAGGCAGTAGAGAGCACTTTTATTACTCACAAGATTTTAATAATTCCATTGAAATTCATTAATTTGTTCTTTTTTTAATTCCCAAAGTTTGTTCTCCCACTTTCCCACCCCCAGTATTTGAATGCATTTTGAATGGGAGCTCCTAAGATGAATCAGTACAAAGAAGGGCGACTTTTATCTGTAAAGCCTGATTTCCTATAAAAAGGAAAATGGTTCATAACCAATATGGCAAGATGTCAGCATCTTTAATTTTAATGATGGAACATGGATTTTTTTTTTAATACTTTTCTGAACTTGTGAAATATTTTGTAACTTTTTTAAAGGTCATTTTCCTCTTTTAGATTGGTGACTTTAGGGTAAGGCCTGTATGACTTCCAGGATAAAATAAAAATAACTTAGTGTAACTGAAATTAGGCAAGGTCTTGGAGAAAAATATTTAATCTCCTACAGAGAATTTAACATTATTGTTTTTCTTATGATTATAGGGCTACGCACCACCACCTAAAAACGGGATTGAACAGAAGCGCCCTGGCCGCCCTTTGAATATTACTTCTTTGGTTAGGTTATCTTCTGCTGTGCCGAACCAGATTTCCATTTCTTGGGCATCAGAAATTGGAAAGGTAAAGATTCTCTCCTCTGGGTAGCATGAAACTGATCCCACTAGGAGTTGATTTATTTTGTTTTTTCTTAGGCTGCTAGCTCCAACTCTTTCAGTTTTCTCATTGTAATCTCTAAAAAGTGTTACAATTTTCATTTTAGGGTAGGGATGTGGAGATTCTTAAGGTTAAAAACTTTAAGGTTTCCTGAATGTCATCTCTTTATTTTCCTGGAAAGGAAATAAGTATAATTACAATATTTCTTAGGGCAATGGTTTAATCACAATTGTGCTTTTGTGTGTGTTTAAGTAGTATTTTAAGAAATTGGAAATTTGGGTGATATTATGTATTTATGGAGAGGAACAAAGAAAGCATTATTCTGCTTTGGGGGAAATAGTTAAATATACTCATGTTGTGATTAGAAATAATCTGTTCCAGCCTTTACATAAACAGCTGATACTTCAGATAACATGTGGGCGACTCGTATGAAAATATGTACGTAGAATTATATTATTTCCTCTATGCCTACAGGTTGCAAAACCTGGCTTTCTGCTGATTCTTAGTCTCAACATGCATCATATCAATTATGATCTAATGATTAATACAACAAAGGATTTTCGTTTTAGAATTACTTATTTATAGAACTGAAATAATAGAATGGCAAAAGAGATTTCAGTCAATTTCTGAACATCAACTTTTAATGTTGCTATTTCATAGAAATAAAGGATAATATTCCTATTTTGTGGACGGAGAGTTTGAGTCATACATTTGTAGTAGGAATTTTTTGGTTTTATCACCACAGTAATTGCAGAGCTGGACATCAAGAAGAATATTTTTGTATTAATCTTTGGACCATAACAATATTGCTGTTTCTTTAACTGTTCTCTTGAGCTCTCATTTCTGATTTTTAGTATAACTTGTCAGTATTATCATAGGGCACTGAATCCTAGTATTTTTCATTTGTACGAGCTGAATGTGTAGTGGTGAAGCGTTGGATAAGGATTCAGAAAATCTGGGCTTAGTCCCAGTGTGACCATTGTTTGATTTTGCAAAGTTGCTTAATTCTCTGAAGCCTACTTCCTATAAAGAATAAGTAAAATCTTGAGAGTGGGTGTTGTATACAAATGTAAGGGACATTTTGAATGAGCAAGTATTAATGTTTTAAAGTTTTGTGAGAGGAATTTGAACAGAAGAGTATATCGTTCTGAAGTGATTATTAACTTATAGATTTTTTGAATAAATGATTGTAGACATTGTAGACCTGTCAGTTTTTTTGCCACGTAATGGGAATAATTTTCTTTCCTTGTAATTAAAATGATCAGTTGACTTAAAATTTGCACAATATATTGGGTATTCAGATATTTAAAAGGACTGTTGCAGGACATTAAAAAATGATGTTTAAAATATTTGGTTTGGCAGCTATTTAAAGTATTTTGTTTATTGTAGAATCTGATTGAATGACTATATGTAGTGAAATGGTAAGGTAGAGTTTTAGCATTTAGGTAAAATTATATTTCATCTCTTCATAGCTCTATAAATAGCTAACGAAGTTTCCTTTGTGCCAGATCTTAGAGGTACGGGATTGGACACTATTATTTTTTGGCCTTGTCTTTTTGATTTTTATCATTTCTTTATGTATCTTATTTACTACAGTAGCTATCCCTTCCCCTGTAAAATGCCCATTTGGGAACAGGAGTTAATTTGTCAAAGTTTTTCTCAGAAGAAAACTGATTTGGGGTTCATTTGAATGACTTGCTAAGGTTGCGTAGCAGGTGGTCTCTTCTGCCAGAATTAGAACTTTGGAACTCTGGATTTGAAGTGTTAATTCAGACCACTGGTGTTTGAACTTTGTTTTTGCAGTGGAACCCATTTTTCAATGAAAATATTATGAGAGGGCCGGCCCCGTGGCTTAGCGGTTAAGTGTGTGCGCTCCGCTGCTGGCGGCCCGGGTTCGGATCCCGGGCGTGCACCGACGCACCACTTCTCCGGCCATGCTGAGGCCGCGTCCCACATACAGCAACTAGAAGGATGTGCAGCTATGACATACAACTATGTACTGGGGCTTTGGGGGAAAAAATAAATAAATAAATAAAATTATAAAAAAAAAAATATTATGAGAGCCATGTTATATAAAAACAGAACAATTCTAGTTAAAAGTGGGCATGGGAGAGTATGTACTCATTCTTACCATGTCGCCCCTAAGATACTAGTTTTGCTAACTTAGAAACACAGTTGGAAAACCACTGATCTAAGTTATCTTTCACACGGATGTTTTGAAGTGATAAGTGACTGAGAAATACCTTTACTATGACTGAGCTTTTATTTTCCCTAAAGTAGCTGAGTTGATTTTGTTCCCTTGTCAGTCATTGACCTTCCTGTGGAAGTTATTTTGAATGTCATTTGTAGAAACCAGAGTTTCTTAGACAAGTATTTTATGTAAACAAAGAGACTATTATCTCTCATCTTTAATACAGATTATCTTTCTTTGTAGAATTACTCCATGTCTGTATATCTTGTACGACAGCTCACATCAGCCATGTTATTACAGAGATTAAAAATGAAAGGTATTAGAAACCCTGATCATTCCAGAGCACTAAGTAAGTAATGTTTGTAAGACTGCGTGTATGAGATGCTTTAATGGGGGGAAAAAAAAAGCCTCACATATACATCAATCAGTATGGGAACAATTATTAGAAACCTAAAATGAATTTTGAGTTTAAAAATAATCTTAAGGGCCCGCCCCGTGGCTTAGCCGTTAAGTGCACGCGCTCCGCTACTGGTGGCCCGGGTTCGGATCCCGGCCGCGCACTGATGCACCGCTTGTCTGGCCATGCTGAGGCCGCATCCCGCATACAGCAACTAGAAGGATGTGCAACTATGACATACAACTATCTACTGGGGCTTTGGGGGAAAAAAAGAAAAGGAGGAGGATTGGCAACAGATGTTAGCTCAGAGCCAGTCTTCCTCAGCAAAAAGAGGAGGATTAGCATAGATGTTAGCTCAGGGCTGATCTTCACAAAAAAAAAAAATAATAATAATAATCTTAAGAATAGATCCCTGTAAATTGAAAAACCCTTCTCTTAAAAACCACTCCCAAGAGCATCAATTTTAAATCCCAATTGGCTGATTTTTGGTCTTTTCATGAAATTTTGATGCATACATTGACTTGAGAAAAGGAAAGCAAGTCTTCAAAACCTCCAGTGTGTAACAGAATGTATATTTTAAAAAATGTAGGTAAGAAGCTCTTTTTGCAAAAGAAATGTTGATATCTATCAACAATATTTGCCTTCTGAGATGTTTTATTTTGTACTTTTGCTTTCATCATGTATAATAATAGGTAGAGAAAAAAGTCTAACCCAAACTGTAAATAATTCAGTTCAGTTACTAAATTTAATTGAACAAGACATTTTTCTGGCAAAGAGAATATTTTTTCACCCAATTACCTCCCATACCACTGAATGAACCAGAAAAGAGAAAAGGATCCCTAGATTGAGAAAGGAGCCAAGTAGGGCTAGTGAAATGGTATTTTGTCTCTTATACCGTTTCTTATCTCCTCAAACAGCACAGTAGTGATCTTCCTGCCTGGAGCTGAAAGCCAGGGCAGCTGTTCCATAATTTTTCTTGCCCCGCTTCAGTTCCACTGTCTCCAGTTTCAGTCCCATTCTCCCTATAATGTGAGAATTAGGCATCTGAAGGAGATGTATATATTTTTTAGCTTGTATATACAGTACCTTTTATACATTACCTGGTGAATGAAATCACACATTACCGCATCCATAGTAGTTTTCGGTTGTCAAAGGGAGTATAAGAATATTTTTACCTTTTCTACTTACAAATTTAACAATTGTTGGAAACAACCAATACTCCCTAATAAAAAGTCATGAATGTGTGTTAGAAAAGCATTGAAGCTCAGAGTACTGCTGCTTTCCAATTCCTTTCCTAATTGTTGTATTGTTCTTTAGTGTTAAACAGTTTTCTGGTTTGAAACTCTTCCTTAACTGCAATTTTACTTTTAAAAAGAAAATTTAAAAATTCAGTTAGGGGCCAGCCCGGTGGTACAGTGGTTAAGTGTGAACACTCCGCTTCAGCGGCCTGAGGTTTGCAGGTTCGGATCCTGGGCATGGACCGACGCACCGCTTGTCAAGCCATGCTGTGGTGGCGTCCCATATAAAGTAGAGAAAGATGGGCACAGATGTTAGCCCAGGGCCAGTCTTCCTCAGCAAAAAGATGGGGATTGGCATCGGACTAGCTCAGGGCTAGTCTTCCTCACAAAAAAAAACAAAAAACATTCAATTAAACATGATCTAGAGTTTGCAAATTTGTAATTCTTTAACCTAATAATGGAAGTATGATTGTTTTCAATACGTTAATACTGAACATTTTATTTTTGTAGTTTCTTGTGCTATTCAAAGTGTTTGGGAAATTTTAAATAAGATGTATGTTTCTATAATTCTGCTCATATGTCACAATTAATTTAAAAAACTTCTTTTATCATTTTTCCTTCTTTTTAAAGTTAAAGAAAAACTTACTGCAGATCCTGATAGTGAAATTGCTACAACTAGCCTTCGTGTATCCTTGATGTGCCCTGTAAGTAAAGCAACACAACATTCTGGAGTATTTTACTTTTTATAAATTACTAATTTTCCTACAAAAGTTAAGTGTGGGAATGAATGGTATATTATGATAGAATTCTGAATTTTTGTTGTTTTCCCATTAAGGAATCTTCATGATTAAGCATTACAATTCCAAAGAATGCAAACATTCTTCAGGCAATAACTAACCAAGAAGAGACCTAAAAGAATATTGTATCCAAGAGGGAAAAGAGCTTTAGGTTCAGAATAATCTGTCACAATTAATGCTATAAATAATCTGCAGCTAATAATAAACATATTGTGTTGGCTCCTTTTATCAGAATATAAACGGTATTGAAAAATAGCAGTAAAATTACTGGGACCTAATAAATGCTAATTGAGGGTTCTGGTTTAATGAGTTAAAACATATGATGTCTTAATCTGTTTGTAATGTACTTTTAAATTGCACAGTAATTTTTATTTTATATCTCCTTACATAGAGACTATGGGGGAGAAATCAGTCAACAACTCTGAGATCTTCCTATGTGTTTAGTACTGAGCTAATTGTGGGAGAAAATACCAAAGACTTGCTAAGAAGTTGTCAGAAAGCTAATAGTCTAGTTTGAGAGTTTAAAACCAACTCGCATGAAAAGGCAGCAGACTCTACTTACCACATATAATCGTGCTATTGGAGTACCAAAGAAGAGATGGAAGAAGTCAGGAATAGTGGATGAAGGCTTCTTGAAAATCAGTAGTGTTGAAGGGGACCCTTTCCAGATGAGTGGAACTTTATGAATCAGGAATTTATAATGTAGTCTGGGGGGCATCTGGTGACCAGCCACCATTGTGAGAAATGTACAGGTTTGTTTTTTTTTTTTTATGAGGAAGATCAGCCCTGAGCTAATATCCATGCCAATCCACCTCTTTTTGCTGAGGAAGACTGGCCCTGAGCTAACATCTGTGCCGATCTTCCTCCACTTTATGTGGGATGCCGCCACAGCATGGCCTGACAAGCGGTGCGTCGGTGCATGCCCGGGATCCAAACTTGGGCTGCCAGCAGCAGAGTGCACGCACTTAACCGCTACGCCACGGGGGTGGCCCCTGGAAATG